CCTCTGCCTCTCCATCTATTCCTGCAGTCCTCTCTCTCACCTACATAATACTCTAATCCCTACGCCCATCCCATCTTCCTCGTCTTATTACCCTTCCTTCCGACTTCTTCTCTCAAAACCTTTGAATACTACCTACAGCACACCGTACACACCCCCCTTCCCTCCCACCTTTCACCACACGGGACAAAATTAGAAAGAAAAGGGGGTTGAAACAGGTCTGCTATTTTGTCCGCCCTGCGAGTCACGTCTACTTGGGCCCGAGCCCTCCCATTGCGCCGAGGCGTTCTTTACGCCACAGCGAGCCCTTTTTCCCTTGTCAGACCTGAGCCTCGACACTCGACGGCACTCCCGAGCCTACGCAGTACTCGGCTCGACTCGACTCGACCAGACAGACCAAAGACTTGAGTCGCAGATTTTACCCCCCACCACCACCTCAGTCAATTCTGCATAACCTGTCTCTGCTGCCCCTCCAGCAGCATTTGCTGTGCATAGCTGTTCATTCTTGCTGGCTGCACTGCACTGCACCGCGCCGCACCGCACCCACGCTTCCCTTGCGGCTGACACCCATCTGCGGCCTACCTGCGTCACTCACCGATAGCCGGAACCAAGAGAGACAACAGCCAACAAGGGGAAGACAGAGAAAAAAAGACCGAGAGAGAGAGGCGAAAGGTCATCCGTCGGTTCGCTTTCGCGTATATACCGCCTCCGTCCCGTCCACCCTTCCTCTCTACAACCAGGACCCCTCCGAACGAACCCTCACCCACCAAACAAAACCTGCTGTGCGCTCATGCCTTCCGCATCCCCCGCTATGGCGAGCCCAACAACCGCCTCGGCGGCCAGTTCCAAACCTTCCTCAGTCAAGTCTGACGGCAAAAAATCGCCGCGTTTGACCCCGCAAAATGGCCAGTCCCTCACCAACGGCAATTCGTCCCACGACGCCCTGCCGAAACCTGCCGAGAAACCCTCCATGAAAGACAAGCTCACGCGCATGTTCTCTACCAAAGACGTCAGCCGAAACGCTATTGAAGTCCCCCATCGACCCCGCGGCTCCAGCTTTAATGGCAGCGACAAGCCCCAACCTCCCAGCAGAAAACCATCCGCTACCACCGCAGAGAAAGTTCCCGAGAAACCAGCCAGCAAACCCGCAAAACCCCCCGTAAAAGACCTTCATCGATTCATGGCGAGCCCAGACTTGCAAGGTGGCCACGAGCACCACCTCAAGTCAAGTCGCAGGCAGGAGAAGCTCTCCGACATGTGGCGTACCCTCATCGGCAAGAAGCAAGAACACGCCGAAAACGACCTGTCGCTCGTCTCTAACTGGGTCGACACGCTCAAGGCCGAGAAGGAAGACATGGCCGGCGACAAGAAGAACGGACCAAATGCCACGACCACTCTCGTAGAGAAGTACGGAAAATGCCAGGAAGTTGTAGGCCGTGGTGCCTTTGGAATCGTCAGGATATCCCACAAGAAGGTCGAGAACGGCGTAGAAAGACTCTTCGCCGTCAAGGAATTCCGCCGTCGCCCGGAGGAGACGGAGAAGAAGTACAGCAAACGACTGACTGCCGAGTTCTGCATTTCCTCATCGCTGCGTCACCCCAACGTTATCCACACGCTGGATCTGCTCAAGGACGCCAAGGGAGATTACTGCGAGGTCATGGAGTTCTGCGCCGGTGGTGATTTGTACACTCTCGTCCTCTCGGCCGGCAAGCTGGAGGTCCAGGAGGCGGATTGCTACTTCAAGCAGATGATGCGCGGTGTGGAGTATCTCCACGAGATGGGTGTTGCCCATCGCGATCTGAAGCCTGAGAATCTGCTGCTCACTACTCGTGGTGGCTTGAAGATCACAGACTTTGGCAATGGAGAATGCTTCAGAATGGCCTGGGAGACGGATCCCCACATGGTTTCCGGCCTTTGTGGCTCTGCTCCCTACATCGCACCCGAAGAGTACACCGACAAGGAGTTCGATGCCCGCGCTGTTGATGTTTGGGCCTGTGGTGTTATCTACATGGCCATGCGCACTGGTCGCCATCTCTGGCGTGTTGCCCGCAAAGACGAGGACGAATTCTATGCTAGATACCTGGAAGGTCGTCGCGACGAGGAGGGCTACGGACCGATTGAGTCCTTGCACAGAGTACGTTCATTTGCTTGCTTGCAGCATTATCCAGAAACTAACAGCCTTCAGGCGCGCTGTAGGAACGTGATATACTCGATTTTGGATCCTAATCCTACCCGCCGCATCACCGCATCCCAGGTCCTCAAGTCAGAATGGGGACGCGAGATCAAGCTCTGCAAGGCCGGTGAAGAGGGCCTTTGAACAGCGTCGTCTTGAAAACTCGGCGGACAGCTTCTTTCTTGTCAACAAGACTTTCAACATTTTACTTTCAACGGCGGAACAGCAATGACCGGAATTTCCAACCCGGCACACCGATAGAACAATGCGTCTGCACAGACAGCGTGCGTCAACCGGCGGTTTTTTGACTCCCTCTTTCAGCCTGCTTCGATTCACACCCTTTTACACTTGTTTTCCTGACGATTTTACGACACCCCCCCCCATGCGACCCTGTTATTGCGAGCATCGGCGTTCGGCGTTTTACCCTCCCATGCTGCTTACACCACAACAACCTACTGTTCAACGTACATAGGACACCCCCGTCTTTGGAACGGGGCACCGGCAGAACTACGCTACAGAGCCAGGTCTACATCTTTGGGTTGACTTGGCCAGCAGTCCCCAACTCCCATGGAATGAAGCTATAATGAGCGACGGATTTGAGATGCGCAAGGGCATGAACGACCTGGAAACGGAAGATGGACCTGGTTGAGCCTTGAGGAAGAGGCTCAGTGCGATACTTGGTGGTTGAGGACCAGGAGGAATCGGTAGGGACGGATGCATAGGCATGATGCACCGGTCTTGAGGGAACACATCGTGGGAGACTGCATGCGTGTGCGGGCTATGGCACTGGCACGCCTGCACATTTGCCAGAGTCAAACTTCTGGATTGATCGTGTGGTCTCCCAGCAGCAAACCCCCCTAATCCACTCGCTTTGCTATCTATAGTGAGTGGCTGTATTCTGAGCCAAAGACCTAAAGAAAGAAAAAATTTAATGAACAAAGCAAAGAGGAGCGGCATCCTAGGGTGATCATTCTGTGACTGCTCTTCCATGTGTGCTCACAACTCTTTGCCCATGAATTTTGGCTTGGGTCTGGCAGGTCTGGCAAGTCTAGCAAGTCTGGCAAGTCTGGCGGTCTTTGCGGACCTGTCTTGGTCACCTGCCCCATGTCCTGGGCATAGGCTGGCCCGTGGGAGAAGCAAATGCTGGATCTATTGCATCACTGGGATACGCAAAGCCACGATGCCCTATCTGATCTTTTACGATGACGGAAATTACCCACGGGGTTGGGCAACCCAGAGAACCGGGCGCAGTATAGAGTTGGGTTTACAGCCACACTGCTCTGTGGGTTTATTTGCTGAAACTCTACTTCTATATCAGCTTGGCAGATGACTTGGCAGGTATGAACTCTGGGGGAGACCGATGATGAGGGACCGGCGGAAGGGCGGTAATTCCCGCGGCTTCAAGATCTAGGAATGGGGCCCGGGCCAGATCTGAGTGCCGGAAGAGTGGGCCCGCCATAACTCTTATTCGCAACTCTTTCGCCCGACGCGCGGTTCCGTGGGCTGTGGATACCTAAGGTCAGTCCCGGGGATGAGGTCATACTTGTTTGCTTTTTCTACAACTCTATATCAACGCACTTCGACGGGGGAAACCAGCGGGCGGCGACAGAGAGGGAACTGAACGGGGTTTTCCCCGCCGTTCTCTGCGAGTTTCCGTCTGAAGGTCCGTCTTTGCTTTCGCACCGAGACTTCCGGGGGCCAGAAAGAGGGAACGGCCGCTGCCGCCAAAGTACAACCTACGAAAAGTCTTGGCGGAAACGAGGAACAAACTAAGCCACTTCACTTCGCCCCGAGTATCACTGCCAAGATCTGGCGATCAGGAAAGTTAGGGCGGACAATTACGTTTGTTTGACTTGTGATTTCCCGTTTTCGCGGATTTGATTTTTGAAGCGAAGGGCTGATGATGTGTTTCGCCACGAAGCAATGCCTTTGCTTGGCGGCGTTTATCTCAGTACTGTACTCTGGAGCCTGGAGACTTTTGGAATGGCTACTCTTCTCGAGCCTTTCGTTTGCTTGGCAATCGCATTGAACGCCAGCTCTTTGCAGGACTGGGGGTTTGGCTGATTGCCTCTGTTGTAGAGAGCGGTCAGCGTAGACTGTATTGCACACTGGACTGGACTGGACTGGACTGGACTCGCCTGGGCATGCGGACCTGGAGCACGAGACAGCCCGACTCACTCACTACCCTAGGCTCCCAAATCCAAGGTACCCTAGACTGAGCCGCAACGAGGAAGGGGAAAGCCAACGCACCAAGCACACCTTATCTCCTAGGTTCCATGGGAGACTGGATGACAGACGGACATGATTGACAAGCAGATGTGATGATGGACGTCCTGACTGACGGGAATGACCAACACGTACACCGCCTCTTGTCAAAGCTAGGTAGGCCAACTCACCAAAAGCAAACGCTCTACGAAAGAGCCTCCCTCGTTCTGCAAGTTGACTCACACTCTAGTTCACACTCTAGTTCAGGACACATGGGTTGTGGTCCTTCTTGATCCCGTGGACGGGTCACTGTACTAGATCTATCCAAGATCTCGGACAGCGTGTTCACTCCCTTCTGTAGCGGGGAATTTGGGAGACTAGTACCCCCAGGTAGGTGAGTGCCTAGGTAAGTCAAGGGACGTAACCTTGGTAAAGGTAGGTAGGTAGGTAGGATAATGGGCATGCACTGCCGCTGCCGCTGCCGCTGCCCCCCTCTTTCCGTAAAAGTAGACTCAGAATCTCGACAGACTCACCAGCGTCATCGACCGATCCCCCCACCCCCCACCACCACCTCCTTCTTCTTCTCCCCCTCCACACCTAAGATTGTGGGAAAAGTCCCAATAATCCCATCCCACCCGTCCGCGTGGCGCATAGCGCCCGCCTACCCAGATTCGGCGGTCAGCAAAGACAGCTTCTCCCCTCCCTCAAGTTCTACAGCCCGGGACTCAGCTGCCCCCTCGCGGTGCCCACCAAAACAAAGAAGACTTCAAAGACCTTCAAAGACACCACGGCGCCGGATCCGGAGAGCGGGTACCCGCCGGCGAACACCAAACCCACCGCCACAACCACCGGACGAGGTAACCTAGCTCTCAAGCGGGTACCATCTTAGTAGAATCCCGCCCTGCACCGCATCCGGATCCCCGGGGAGGCCCCTCTCCCTCTCATGGAACATTTCCAGAAGTCTTCCATGTGTGGGGGCCCGGCGGGTCCGATGCAACGGTGTGATAGTGGGATGACCCACACCGGTCCCCGGTCCCGGGGACCGGGGACAGGGCTCCGCCGTACGAACCCTTGCTCCTGATATGGCGCCGGCAGGGATGGGGGAGCGGAGCAGTGTACGGAGTGCAGAGTAGAGGATACAGACATCTTCCGGGTGCCGGCTCGACGTTGTCACAAGGCACTCAACCGGCCCGTTCATACGTTGAAGATCGGTTCTCGCGGCTTGTCTTTCGACTGTGCTGCCGCGCCTAATCAGGCGTTCTTTGCAGGGGTGATTGAACGTCTCCCGCTGGCTCTCGGACGTCTTCATCGCCGGTTCCTCTAGTTTCCCATTGTTACCTACCTTCCTACCGTGAAGTAAACGCCGCCTTTTCTTGACTTCAGATGTGTTTCTATCCCACAGGCGGTACGGTTGGCCTTCCGCCATCCACGCAATGACAAGCTGTTTTGGTTTCTCATCATCTACCTATCTTAGGTTGTGCTGTCCCTCCCATCCATTTACCTTCTAATATGTCCGTAGACCCCCGTGTCTACGCTTCATGCATCACATCACATCAAACACAAGGGAACGCTCTGATCTTGAACTAAAATAAAGCCTAAAGGCCTCTTATATATGCGTGCCGAATCTTCAGTACTTCTTGCTCCGATATACGTAGTACCAAGGCGACAAAAATAGCGCACAGGTTGGCAGCTCCCGAGCGGGAAGCAGGAAGCATAAAACACAAAAGAGATACGCGCCGAGGGTATATCCCTCGACCACCATTCTTTCCCCGTAGCAGACGACCCCAAGATAATACATACAGAGAGAATCTGCACCCTCTTCTCTGCTCATGAATCTCGTGCCAACCCGTCATTTCCCCGTAAACACCGGTAATAACCACATAAAAATGACAAAGCAAATAAACGCCCCCTGGCGCACATCTTTAACTTCCATTGCAAGAATCGAACGTAAGATCCCCTTCAAAACGTGACTGCCCCTTGTAGAATAGAAGCAGACCATAGCCGGTAGCGCCACCCGCCTCGTACCCGCCCAGCCGCTTGCGAAAATAATCCATAGCTGTTCCTCGAGAGGAAGCTGAAGTTCGTAATGATCGGTTTCGTTCATTGTTGGAGACGTGCCGAGGAGGTAGCTCTTCGTAGTTGCAGACATTAATCCCTGACTTAAATCCTATCCAGCCGCGATATTTTTACCCCCTCTCCTTCCGACTAGAGGAGAGCAGCAAAGACCAACAGTGGATGTGACACTGCTCCAAACCCATGCAAGATGGCCGAGATCGAATCGACGAAAGGGCGAGGCCGGATCCCGCAGGAAACTGAAACCAAGGAGTGAGACGCAGGTGGTCGGTCTACTCCTCAGGGTGGAAGAATCGAACAAAGAGAACAAAAGACTCTCTAGGAGTGGAAAAGGTCCCAGGCTCTGGCGCAGAGCTGCATGAACTCCTCGCGCTTTTGCCTTTGGCTCTCGGGGCTGTCCCGACCGGCGCCGAATGGTCCTCTTCGCTGAGGAGCAGGACCGTGACCCAATGGTGGGCTGCCGTCCTCATACTCGGCGCGGGTGCGGCGCCGGCTTGCGCTGCGGCTGGGGTCAGCGGCTCTGCTTCCCGGGGCTGGAGAAGGAGGCGTAGGGGGCTGGTGAGCGTTTCCGTAGTGAACGATCTTAGGGAGCAACTCGGGGCGGCCACCAGCAATCTCGTGCTGTGCCTCTTCCGCTGACTTGTACTCTCTGGCGCGTCCGGAAGTCGGAGGACCATGCTGCATCTGAGGAGGGTGACCAGGTGATGCCATGGGGGGACGGCTAGTTTGGGGGTACAGGGAGTTGGGAGCATTGTCGGGGTGACCAGAGACTTGGCCAAAGACGTCACTAATGGGTGGGAGACGGTTGTTCGTCTGGTTGGCAGGGACGTGATGAATGTGAGAGGTGTTGGAAAGGGTATTCGGCTGGTTTGTGATGTGGCGAGACAGAGGCGCAGGGTGCTGACGACCAGTGAAGGAGTGTCCCAAGGGGGCAGACTGAATGACGCGCTCGTTGGCGAAAGACTCGGCGGAGGGCGGCAGGATGGAAAGCTGGGCCTTGTTCCTGCGAGACAGGCCGGGAGTCTTTGCTGCAAATTGAGATACAGGGTCCTTTCCGGAGGTGTCAGGACCATCGCCCTTTGCCGATTGCTGCTGCATTCTCTGCTCGATGATCATGCGTTGCTGGTCTCTCACGCTCATGCTGCGCTGGAGCTGCTCCTTCATGATGGGGTCCTGGGTGACGAAACCGGGCGAAAGACAGGCGAGGCCAACTTCCTGAATGCCCAGATTGTCCCTAGCGGTCATGGGCCTAGCAGTGCCAGGAGTGTTGGAGCCCGGGTGGGCGCCCTTGTTGGACAAGTCGAGTTTGCGTGGCCTGTGACGGGTGGTCGGCAAGTCTGGGGAGTTGGGCTCCTTCTTTACAACGATCTTCGGTGCACCGCTCGCATGTCTCGCGCTGAAAGAGAGGGATAAGTTAATGAATTGCAATTACGAGGCAATGGGTTAGGCGTGGAGATGCAACTTACGCGCTGGGAGGAGATGACTTGGGAGCTTGGGCGGCACCCCTAGGGCTGCCGCTGCCTGATCGATGCGCCGTCGCATTGGGGGTTCCAGTGGGTGCAAGAGTTCTTTGTTGTGCAGGCGAGGAAGCGCCGTGCTGTGCAGAAGACGCGGGAGCGAGGTCAGAGGAGAACGACGGTCTGTCGTGAGGGGCTGGAGAGGGAGCCATTGCGATCGCTGTGCTCATAGTTGCTGTGCTGTCGGTAGGTTGGGAGAATTGAGGCGAGAAAAAAGGGGACCGGTCGGGGCGGGTGATTGCTGCTGATGCTGCACCCGACACGACTGTTTGCCGTTGAGTTCTGCGAAGAAGGGCCTCACTTGGCTCGACGATTGCAGAAGTGTAAGTTCGGAAATTGGAAACCCGTGCAAAAAAAAAAAAAAAAAAGTGGTTGAGATGCAACGAGTCGTCGATAGATTAGTAAAAGGGCGAATCGATGATGTCGTCAAACACTGGATGATTGAGATGCGCGATTCTCCCTTGCTCGATGCTCCAGTTTTAAATGGGTCGAGATGGATGAAGTTGTCGACGTCTGCCTTTTGACGAGGAAGAGGTGCGCGACTGCAACTCTTTCTGTCAGAGGATTGGGTTGCCAAGGCCGAAACGAGAGGACTCGACTTTAAGTCGGTTTTTGTTTGTCGGCTAGACTTGTCGAGTGACTTTGGGGGAGTGTGGACTCTTTGTCCTTGTTTTTCTGCCCTTTCTTGCGAATGGAAGCGCGGAGTCGCAGCAATTGACGCGCCGAGCTTGCGCTTTGAGCTTTACGAGAATGGCCGAGAGCAGGCTGGGGGGGGGGGGGGAGGAATTAGCCTGGGCGGGTTGTGTGTGGGTGCACTGGGCGGCGGTGGTGATGGTGTGGTGCCTCCTAAGGTAAGGTACCGTACGTACCCTGAAGTAGTAGCTGATTGCTGCTGGGCCGTGAAAAGTCGGAGCGCGGGTAGACAGAAAGCGGTTGGTCTGACTACCTTGGGTGAGAGAGAGATGGCGGGGCGGAACAATCCGAAATGTTGTAGAAATAAGAAAAGAGACAAAAGGGACAGCTGCTTGCTATTGCTGCTGCTGCTGCTGCTTTTTGCTGTCTGGCGCTCTTTCTCTGAATTCGAGGCGGAACTGCGACGGGAGCTGGAGCTTGTGGAATGCGCAGCGGCTGATTTGTGTGCCAAAATTAGTGGTGACTGGGAAAGGTTGTCGGCACGGAATGATTGATTGACAAAAGACAATGGGGTCGACCAGGTCGGCTCGTGTGTCAGGTGGTGTCCAGAAAAGGGAGCAGATCAGTCTCAGTTCGAATCAGGGCTCGCGGGGGGGTGGGTTTGGTGGGAGAGATAGTCTTTTTCTCTCTTTTTCTCGAGTCAACCGAATTGAATAGATGGCCAAGGTTGGAGTTTGGTAGTTTGCGGAAGAGGGTATATGGTCGTATTAATTAGTTGGCGTAAGACGGACTGGACTGCGAAGGAAGTTTGTGGTAGAAGTAGTGGTAGTAGTAGCGTGGCGTAGCCTTGGGTGTCCGTCGGGTCGTCAGGTCAAATCAACGAAAGATGGAGGTTGTGGTTTGTTTTGTTTGAGAAAAAAGCGAGAGACTTGGTCTGCGACGTCGGGAGGAGAAAAGGTCAGGCGCGGGGGGTTTTGAGAAATCGGTAAAAGGAGGAGAGGGGGGAGTATCGGGGAAGGAGAAGTACAAGAATTGGACGGGGTGAAGAAGGGTGGGAAGAGAAGCGAGCGCTGGACGAGACGAGGATTACAAAACAGAAGTTGAAAAGGATGGAGGGGAGGGGGTGGTGTTTAAAGCGTCGAGACACCACCAGGCTCAGGCTCAGACTCAACACACTCAAGACTCGGACGAAGAGACGGAGACGGGGACGGGGACCCCAAAGTTGACAGGAAGTCGAGGACAGATCAAGAAAACAGGGACCAAGGGGGTAAAGCACCACACGTAAAGTGCAACGACGGGGGTGTGGTGACAATCCAGTGACAAGATGTCGAGAAGTTGAGAGTGCGACTGCTGGGCTACCTTACAGGCTTACACCACGAAGTATCCGTATGGAGGGCGGATACGCAGTGCTGTGGTAAGGTACGGATAGAGTGGTATAAAGTGAGACTGGATGGAGCAAGACGATCAAGAACTGACCAGGGGCCCATGGACAAGCAGCTGGAAGGATGGATCATGGAGAGGGACGCACCAGGAGGTAAGAGGGGAAGGGGGGAGGGGGTTTAGAGGGGCAGCTGTGGTTGTTTTATTTTCTTATGAAAGGGGAACACGGGAGTGACACAATTATGGCCCAGCCGGCACAGCAGGCCCTTCTTTTCTTGCTCTTTTTCTCTCTGTTTTATCTTTCCTTTCCTTGCCTTTCCCCCATTCCCGCATACGGACTATCTACGGATACAGTAGTATTACAGAGTTTCTGTGGTCTCTCTCTCTCTCTCTCTCTCTCTGGATTGACCTCATGTCAGTAATCCATCAATAGGTAGATACCACAGTAAACGTCGTGTGTGCTGAGGGCTTCCGGGATCTATGCTGCAAGAGATGCGATTGACTGGCTGATATATCCCCAGTTCCCAAGGTAGGAAGGGGGAGGGGTGGGTTTCCTCGTGGGAAAGGGGGGTGTGTATAAGGCCCATGTGCTGTACGGGATAATGGATGCACCTTCCAGCAGTTCCAGCTTGACTTGACCTCTCTCTGTATCCTTATGGCACTCATGTCACAAATGCCATTGGATTTCACTGTGGTATCTTCCCACTATCCAGAACACACACACACACACACACACACCACACGCACACTCGCATTCACACACAGGGCACACACACGACAGTGAGCGGTGGTGACGTTGCGTGGTGCGGCGGACGCAGTCTAGACTTCCAGGCCACCTCAGAACCCAGGCCATCGGTCTTTCAATATTTAATTTATACGGAATTGATTGGACACCAACATCTGACGGTTGCGGCCGTTCTTCTCTTGTTCTCTTCTTGCTTCTACGCTTCTCCTCTCGCCTCCGCCTGGTGAAGCACCACTCAGTGTCAGGAGCGACGACAAGATGCAGAGTGGCATCCGTCGGCTCGGGTGCTCTGGAGCTTCTCCAGCTGTTGGTTGGTTCGCAGGCGTGTAGCAACGGTGGAGGTGCTACTGGGCTACCTTGCATTCGCACCTACACACTACCTTACGGGTACTTCGCAGTGTGGCAATGTGTGGTTTGCTTCAACTCGACTAGACCTAGCACAGGCGAGGACAGGACGGGACGGAACAGGGCTGGGGCTGGGGCTGTCACCCACGCTGCTGGAAAAGACTCAAAAAGAGAGAGACAGAGCGGAGGAAGACGGTGAGAATCTGGATGGTGTTCAATCTCCAAGGGGCGTGGGATATGTGTGGTGAGCGGGGGCGCCGCTTAACCTCCGTAGGCTGTTTGACATTGAGGTCAAGTTTCCCCCGGGTGGGTTCCCTATCTTTTTTTTCCCTCTCGCCCGCTCTCATCCTCTCCTTCTCCAAATTCCCTCTGAACTCTTTCGGGACCCTGGTCCGCAACTCCCACACAGTCTATACTTCCTATTCGGGAATACATGCTCAGGTTCTTACAGATTGACATTGACGGGATGACAGAGCTGGAGCTCTGGCCGATGATGCTGATCAATCACCAAGCCCACTAAGAAACGAATACTCTGAACGACCTCCTTATAGCAGAATCCGAGGGAAACAACTATCACGGGCCCATGGCATGACGGACAAGGATGGATCGCAATGCTCCCTCTTGTTCTCATTTCCAAAATCTCAATATCCATGCGCAGGTGAGAGAACGGGCTGCTGCACTGCAAGCCCAGCAACTAGAAAGATGAGGGGGAAGCTACCACAGCACCTCGGGGAAGCTAAGGCAAGGCACCTTTGCTCATGTGCCTGAGGTGCCTGGCATGGCATGGTGCAAGCTACCAACAATGGGACCTGCTACGAACACCCAAGGTACCTTAGGTACGGATGCTTCTTGCAAGTCACTCCATACCCATCACAGTAAGGTAGTGACCTACCTACCACTTCACACACATCCGCATGGTAGGTCAGGTAAGCAACGCTCCCACGATACGATGCTCGGTGGCTAGAGGACGGGTACCTAGCGTGTGGTACGGAGCAGGTAGTGCCTCGCACTTCTTCCACCCGTCACAACCTATCGAAAGGTAGTACGCTGTGCCGTGCCTCGCCCCAAATCGACGGCTACGGCAGGCGAAGCTTACAAGGCCGCGACGGTTGGCCCACGCTGCTGCGGCAGGAATAGCAGACTATTGTTTCTGATTGGGTTCGATGCCAACGATCCTGCAACACACGAGCCACCGCTCACCCACTCGCCCGTGCCCCTCACCCTCCCACCCTCCTCAACTACACTAGGGAATTACTCTGTTCGGATACACAACTCCACCCACCAGATTGTCAGGATTGGCACAGACTGCTCTTCATCGCCCAAGGACCATGGGGCCATGGGTTGGCCTTTGACGACACCGGACGACAATTCTCCTCGTGCGAGACAAGGCATCCCCGACCTACCAGGGTTACCTGTAACCTGCTACTGCCATCGCGGCATCGCCTTGATCTCCAATCCTACCGAGTATGAGAAATACCTGCTCAGCCTGCTCCCAACACGCCGTTACCTCTGTCATGCATGTACCTACCGTGATTACCGCACTCTATCAAAGACGGGGGGGGGACTCAACAGACAAGCAATCGGAACCCTCCTCCTTTACAGTTAGATACCGATGTTGAGATCGAGCCAAGCAAGGTCCGAAGCGCAACAATAAGGTAACGGATATGCTCTCCGAAAGACCAGACGGAAACACCAACGGCGGGGTTTCAATACACTTAACTCTGTCCCTCGACAACACTATCCCTCACTCGTTTTCGCCCTCCTTTTGATGTCTTGGCTCGGTTCGGTAGGCTTGCCGTGCTGTGGACTGCCTGCCTCCAGGAACACACAACATGGCGGGCTCGGCCGATCAGAATCACCGCACCTCAAACCACGGGACTTCGAGTGCTCGTTGCATCGCGGCATGTGGCTTGGCACCTGCTTCGTCATCCGCTTCCGAAGCAGAGGCAATTCAGAACCGCTAGTCAGCTCAGCTAGCCTGCTACCACGCAACACCATCTGTGTCGTGTAAACCAAAGACGACCCAAACTATCACGATCCCATCTCTGAGACCCTCGTTGACGTACGTACCACCAGTGCGTACGCAGTGCGGTTCACGTCTCCGCCTTCAGCTCAACCACCTCCCTCCGTACAACTGTGGTACCCAAGCAGCCCTGGCAACATCTAGATTTCAGCCCGCGCTCTCTCACCTCGCTCACCTTGCGAGATCGAACCCCTGGCACTAACCACTTCCGCACATGCCATGACGGGGCCTGCCCTGCCAGTGGATCGTCCAAAACCGGGACTCGGTTGTTTCAACCACAGCATCACAGCAATATATGGAAACGTCCATTGCTTGCACCGCCATGTAGCACGATGCAGCACAGATGGCATACTTTCGACCAAGTCTACCTCCTACGTGCTAAGGCTGTCGTGGGGCGCAAAGGGACGGTGATGCTCCATGGGTTGCCCATCAGTCGCGATATTGGTGTCATACCGCTGTCGCCGAGGCGTCAACCACGCCTTGGACAAGCCGATCATCTCGAGACGATAGCTTCCAACCTGTCACCGGACCCTGAAAGACACTGCCAGACGGCCAGCCCGGGTGGCCTGCGCCTACGCCATCGCGTCTAGATATCCCGGTACCGCCTGCGCCTGCGCTTGGTGCCTGTGCCTGTGCCTGTGCCTGTGCCTGTGCCTGTGCTTTCCCGCACACATTGCCGGTCATCTCCAAACTCCTAATAGCTCTCGTGGTATTATTAAATGCCCATTCTTCGTCATTGCCGCACGCCGGCGCTGCAGCCCCCCTTGCGGGCCACATCAGACGGAGTGAACACTAGGCTGTACTGGCCCGTCCGGGCGTCGGCCCTTCACGACTCTCTCCTAACCCGGACATTGGGGGCGACGACGGCAATTGGAAGGTGAGGGCAACTTCTCAGCTCCCTTCGTTTCTGTTGGTGGCCCCCCCCAAGAAAGAGGCTAACCTGCGTACAGCATCTGCATCGCGACAAGCACATTTTCCAACCGAAGCCTGTGCGAATGTTGACAGCCCAGTATCTTGCCTCACCGTCGGAAACTGGGCCGAGAAACTTCACAGAAGCACCCATGAATGGAGGGGCATCCGATACTCGACAATCGAAAAGACCTTGTCATGTGTTTCTCGAATTACTTTTTTTCCTTTTGACCCCATGGTGCCACTGGCCAGACTACAAACGATCAAACCGATTCATTGCCAATCCAACTACGAAGTATAGAGCCTGAAATTTCCGTCGATAGGTTCGGACTATTTCAACCAAACTTCAAACGAGACTCTCACCGGTGAAATATAGTACCTCTCCACCTTTTCCTCCGCCAGTATCACCCCTCCACGTCCGCCACCCCTGATCACACCTGACGGACCCAGAGACGCCACATGGATGAATCTGCACAAGATAGATTGCCCAATCGGCCGTCCGAGTCTCAAGTCTGGTCAGCCAACAGCATGAGTCGTCTCTGGCTCCTGTGTCGCGCGCGGCGGCTCACGACCAAGCAAGCTCTGGACTAGAGACGGCGATTCCGCCAGCCAGAAAGTTATTTCCTCGACTCTGATTGCTCCTCGCTGCCGCGTAGGAAGCATCCTACGCAGTCGCCTGAGTGGACGTTGACAACAGTTGGCTTTCGTATTAACCTGGGCAGCATTTGTGTGCTCAATCTTGTCTTGAGAGTCTCCGCTCGCTGGATTTCCGGCCGTGACAGCCACCACTGGCGATCAGTAGCCACTCGTAGGGCGGCAGGCCTTTGCTGAAACCCGCCCCTCATTCTATTGACCTGACCTGAGCCTCCTGAAGGCTGAGTTTGGCGAGATTAGCTGGTGCTGGCTCACTTTGTCTCTTGCCTTCTCCGCACGGCAATGTCATGGGCAGGCAAGGCCAGGAAGAGCAGGGGGTCGGAAGGGGAAGATCCATGTGAAAACGTCCCTGAAGATCCCGGCCATATCCCACGACCGTTAAGCCGCAACCCCATGTGTCAATGTGTCACCAGCCTCTTTCTCTCTGTGTCACAGTTCGCAGAGAAGAGGCTGAGTTGAGTTGTGGCACAAGACGCACGTACCATTGGCATGAAGTTATTGAGTGAAATGCAGAAGAATACGAGTCGGAGAGTTGCAGTATTCTCCACGCCGTCGTCGTCACCGACGCCAGAGCCACCTCCTGCACACGTCGTCGACTGTCAAATTTCCCATTGTCTAATGCGTCCATGCCGGCTCACAACGTCTATATGGGATTCATATGATATTCATAGATGAAGGTAGTATAACCACGACGTCTTCTGATACTCTGCTAAGGATTCTTGTCACGTCAGTCTCGGTACGGATAGTATCGAATAGCAGTTGCTCATTCAGTATCTCAGCACCGATCTCCAGTCGCACCCCCTCTCCGAACGACATGCTCACGCCCCCCCCCCCCCCCAATGTAACCCCCCATGTAACCCCCCAAACCCCACCACGGTTCCAGGTTCGTCGTCGACGTTACATCCCCTAAAAATTTCTCTTCATCCTTTTCGGGACGACAACCTTCTTTCTTTCCACTTGCAGCAGGTTTCCTTGGTACTGTGAACGGCGGTACAGACATCTTCATCCTGAAATTCCTCAGCGGCACCAAGCAGAAGAAAACACGCCCGTCGTTGTTTTCTGCTTGTGAGTAGCATTCGCTTTGCCTGCACAGACGATTCGCCGAGTTAAGACGTCTCCTCCCTCGGCTTGCACACGTTTCCCACATACACTGGACACGCCCCCCTTCACCTTGCCGTCTCCGTCCCATCTCTGGGTAGGACTCACAGACGACGGCCGTTGCTCCCCTTCGTCATCTGCAAACCATCCGTCAATCCGTGCGGCGCTGGTGAGGATTGAACGTTGCTTACATAGCACACATACACTCACAGTACTGGCTAAACCCACCAGCTGGGTGTCGGTTTGAGGATGAAGGAAACGAGCCAATCATGTCGCCCAGCCCGACCCTGTCTTGAAACAATAAAGGGCGGTCGGTGGCCAATCAAACCTCGTTTCCGATGTGATAGCGCCGGACGATCACGAATTGGTGTAGTTTGGTTTGGCAGCCTACGAACAGAATCCGAACGTAGGTCGTCTGACCGGGAGGGGATGCGAGGGTTGAAGGGTGGGAAACCGGAACGGCCTTCTCGGCTTTGCTGCTCTGTATCGAACGCTTTGGGCTCTCTGGGATCGCGATCAGGTTTTTATTTTCCTCCCCCGGTTGTTTTGTTTTGTTCCCGACGTTCCCTTGATAGGGATTTTAATGTGAAGTGGGCACGGAGGAGGGGGAGCTCTCATGATGCCGTATGACGCCCATGCATGCCGTGTATGTCTTATCCGATCTTTCTCAGCCTCTCCTATCGCCTCCGCGCGCTTACGCCGCCTCCCCGGGAACGTCAACCACGCGGGAGTTGGATGGTCCGTGGACACGATGCGGTGGAAGGGCCCTTGTTCACGGGGGAAGGGGGGTTGGTCTCTCTCTCTTGTTGTCTCACCGAGAAGGAAAGAGTCCAACCCGGAGCCTGGGCTGGCGGGGTCGGGGAGACGCCGCGGAGGCCTTGGGTGCCTGGGTATTCTTTGAATCTGATTTCGGACCGAGACATGTTGTAGCCCGTACGTTGATGGTTCTACGAATACGGTGTCGACTTGATGAGACTTTGCTTGCGAGATCTAGGTCTGAGCCTAGATAGGTACGCTTCGCCAGCTCTTTACGACCTTGTACCTTTACACGCAAGCATTATCATAGCTTTCGCCTACTGCGGCGATATATTCTTCATTAATTCATTCCGAAGATATCGTGACTTGAGTGGCGCGTCCACTCGAGGTCAAGCCTGCGGGTTTAAGGGTAACTAACGTAAAGCTTACGACTTAGGATTGGTTACCAAGAAATGCAAGGTGATGAAATACTCTCCTTTCTTGATCCCTCGAAAGAACGAACGGGGGGCGAACAAAGAAGCGCGCTATCGATCTTTCGATCATTCTTCTACGAACCAGTCAGAGGGGTCGATATGACTTGAGGTAGCAAAAAGCTGCAAGGTGATGTAAGGTAGGTAGTTTGCTCGTGCGCGGTGCGCCAACAAATCAAGCCGGGGTTGGTTGAATAAAGACCAAAGATGTGGTGGGAGAGAACTGCGTCAGCGTGCGTGCCTTTGCATCTTGCCGCGCGCCTGTAGGGGGCGCATCTTCATTGATCGATTTCCTCCCCCGATGCGGAAAGCGTCTATCACAAGTATGCTAGGTTTTCTATTGGTTCTGGAGAGAGATGTTTTGTTGATTTTGTAGGTTTGCCAAACAAGGATTTCGCAAGTCCAGTAAGTAGGCCTTGCATGCTATGGCGATGTGCTGGGAATATGGCAGTCAAGACCCGAGTTGTGGTTTGATGCAGGATAAGTAGCAATATTGGGGGGGGGGGGGGGGGGGGGGGGGTTTGGAAACTTCTGAACATGAAGATGATAGGGCAGGAGAACGGCGGCGTCTTGAGGGGGAGGATCTCACGCCGTTGCATCTGCCGAGCGATAGACTTTTCCCCTAACGATACTCTCGATGGTATTTGGCCGGAGGAGGGGAGGGGGGCGCGAAGCGAGGTGAGATTTCTTTTTGAAATTCTTTGTTAATTGCAGCGCCGTCTTGACATGACATTTTGCGATGCGATGCGAGCTTGCATGTGGTGGAGACGCCCGGGTTGGTGGTCATGACTTTCATTGAAGGTTGACAGCTGGTGCCAGAGGCAGGGTGTGGTAGCCAGCTGCCAGCTTGTTTCTCAAATTGATCCGCGGGTCCGTTATCAAAAAATTTCGAGACGACGGGCACTAGATGCGCGCGCAGTGCAAGTCGACCTGTTGTAAAGTTGAATTATAATACCCCGCGAAAAGACCAATTCGATACCCCATTTCAGCGACAACTGAGAAATTCTTTTCGGCAAACCCCTCATAAGCATCTTTCATCATTACAAACAAAACAAAAATGCCCGGCAGAACCGACTCGGAAGACGTCCCCATGGACGAGGCGCCCACCTCTCACCAGCCCGAGGAGGAGGAGGAGGAGGAGGAGGAGGAGGAAGGCCAGGACTCGAATGAGCAGGAGGAGGAGGAGGAGCAGGAGGAGCCCCAGCGCGTCAAGATTGTGAGTTTCTGCTTACTTCACCGCCGGGCCTGCTTGAAGCTAACTTTTGCGAATTAGCTGCCCGGCTCAACAGACACAGCCGCCTCATTCGAGTTCATCGATGAGGGTCACACGCTCGGCAATGCGCTGAGATATGTCATCATGAAGAAGTATGTTTTTTCACGTTGTATTAATCTCAATCTCATGTCATAAGCTGCCTCAAGGCCTGGTTATACTAACATCATCTCCTTTTCTCAAAGCCCTGATGTTGAGTTCTGCGCCTACGCCATCCCCCACCCTTCGGAACCCAAGATGAACATTAGAATCCAGACCTATGGTGAGTCTATTTTTCTTGTTTTCCGCCCCTCTTTCATCCGTTCAGTGTTTTCTGACTGTGTGACCCCCCAGACGGTACCGCCGTCGCGGCTCTGCAAAAGGGTCTCAAGGACCTTCAGGCCCTCAGCGACACCGTCGCCGAGGAGTTTATCCGCGCCAAGGAAGAGTTTGGTCGTTCATAGCGACATTGATTCATTGGAAGATGGAAAAAAGGCGTTCTTGTTTTTGTTTTTACATGGGAATGGAGACACCCAAATCGAACCAATGGGCGTAGACAAAACAAATGAAATAGGACCAACGAATTAGTCGGTATTTCTCGTGGCTTTGTTTGCGGAAATGTTTTTTTTTTTTTGAAATTGTATGTTTTATGTACACGAGCTCTAATTCCTCCAGCGCTCTTAGTTGCGGCCCTAAATGATGTGAGGTTAGCGATCCGTTTCGAAAGAGCGTCAAACGTTGGCTGGTGCCCTTCATCCCCTTATTCCTCCCCATGGTGCTCTCTCCCGCTCTAGCATGCTCGTAGCCCTTCTGTGACAAACTTACCTCCAAGAATCCGGTCATGAAGCTGTTGGGCAACCGCTTGTCCCCTCTAAAGTTCTCCTCCTTGAAGTAGGACATGATGTGCGTCGTCTGCTTCCAGAAGTTCATCGTCTCCTGCATTGTTGTAAATCGTACATCAGCTCTTTGCTCTTGTATCTTGCCAATCCCATGCCGTGCGATTAATCCATCTGCCATGGAGCGAAATCTCCTGCCTCTTTGACTCCCTCGATATCTTTCGCTGCGCGCGTGCGGGAAGGGGGGTTCGTCGCTGGGGGCGGCATACCTGGTATTCGGCGTGGCTCTTGAACAGGAGAACGTCCACCACGGGGAGCTTGTTGGCGAATCTGTGGCGCTCAAACTCCTCACGTATCCGGGTGCGGAGGACGGACACGGGCAGGGGGACGTTGTACATCGTCTGGATCTCAGGCGCCTATTCCCAGTATTCCTCAATTAGCACTGCTCTATGCTTCCGGCTCCCTTCCAGTCGGCCCTCTCTTCTGAATCGTCCTCGTATAATTGCGCGCCTTGCTCTAATCGACCGCGTACGCCGGATATCCTACTAAAGAGACGTATTGGGGGCAACGTACAGCTCGGATCCATTCTCTGTAGGAAGCGAGAACCCGTCTCTTTGCGTCGTTCCAGTTGGCCGCTGCTCGACGAATCAGTGGGAGTTTCGGGGTCAATTGGTCTCTACGACTCACACTGCCGGGTCGTCTTTGCGAATTGGGTCGGTGTGATGGCCATGGTGGGCGCGGGGGGAGGGCGGGCGATGCTGGTGAAGAGGGCGGTTTTGCTTGCTACGCTACGTGATTCCCGAACGGCCTGTCGTCGACTCGCTGGTCTGGCTGGGTGGAACGGGAATCTTGGGAAGCTCCAAGGTTCCGGACGGCCCAATCACGTGTGGCTCCTTAGTCAGCCCGGACCCAGTGCCTGCACCTTCTGGCCAGCGCCGTTAGTGGCATGCCCGATAAGATATCGGTAGCTTTTTGCCCCACTATCAACCTGACCTTTTGAACTTCAACTCACTTCATCCAGCCAGCCTACAGCCGCGACGCGAAACGAGACGAACCTTGACGAGACAGCGAGAGCCCGTCGAACATCAACACACGTATCCTTTCCAATCACCTCCGAGATACACACGCGAAACAAGAGCCCAGCATGCCTCCCATGCGATCTTCGAAGCGCAAGCCGCCTCCAGAAGGCTTCAACGACATCGAGGACCAGCTCCTCATCTTCCAGAACAAGATGAAGGACGCGCAGAACAAGCCGCCGCCGACGGGACCGAAGCACCAAGCGCAGTGGGAGATTTTCCAGATCGCGCACGCGAGGAGCCGCTACATTTACGACCTGTACTACGAGAAGGAGGCCATCAGCAAGCAGCTGTACGAGTGGCTTCTCAAGAATGGTTACGCGGACGCAATGCTGATTGCCAAGTGGAAGAAGCAGGGCTACGAAAAGGTGAGTTACCGTGTCAATAAGGCTCCCGAGATGTGTTGCTGACATGTGTCTATAGCTTTGCTGCTTGCGCTGTGTCCAGACCAAGGAGACCAACTTCAACTCGACGTGCATCTGCAGAGTTCCCAAGGCCCAGCTCAAGGGGGACCAAGAGGTCCAGTGCGTCGCTTGCGGATGCCATGGCTGCGCATCCAGTGACTAGAGGAGCAGAGTCTCCGGTCGCGTACGTGTTTTCTAGGGAGATATCCTACACGAGGCTGTCCCTCGGTATGGCCTCCAGCCGACAGAGGGCCCCCGTGGAGGGCAGGCGTTCGGCGCTTAGCATGGCAGGGTTGGTTCCGGCCCTGGGTACGATCACTCGGGTCGTTGTTTACGGCAAAGAGGTAGTGATCCTTTCAATTGACCGTTTTGGTATCATCATGGCCTGAACGCTAATCGAAGTAGTGGTATCATTCGTGACGTCTTCATCGTTTTGCAAAGCCTGCTCGTCCTCCGCCCCTGCCAAACCGCACGCTGTTTGGCACAAAGTTCAGCGCCGACATTGCACCAGCGAGATCCTCCATTTCCGTGTCTGGACGTTCCGTTATCGCTGGTTCCGCGGGCACTGAGCTGGCCTCGGACTTGGCCACAGCATCTCCTGACTTTTGTGACTCTCCGCCTTGTGAAGTGGACGCGTCTAGAATGCTTGACCTACGCTTCGAATCCTTGGGTGCACCGAAAGCGTTTGACGATTTCCGCCGGTGATGACCTGCTTCTACTAGCAGTGACCGTCGCCCGTCGACACCCTCCCTGGTCACAGCAAAAAAGTAGTTTTTGGGAAACGCGTGTTTGTCGATGAGGTGCATCCGGCGTTTCTGCGGCGTCATGCACTTCCTCTCACAGCTCTCTACGAAGCAGGAGTACTGTCGTAAGTGTCAGAAGCATTTCAGAATAGGGGCTGGTGAGAGAGAGAGAGAGAGAGAGAGTGTGTGTGTGTGTGGGGGGGGGTGATGTTACCGTGTGCTCTCCTCTCTCCCGCTTCACAGCGGCGAAGGAATCATGGCATTCCTCATGGTGCACATTAAGCAGATGGCCCGACGGTAGGTTCCTCCCGCATTCCAGACACCTGTTGGTGTGCGTGGCTATGTAGTGCGCCTCGTAGTCGTCGTATGTCTTGAAAGTCAGGGCCTCCTTGTGAGGCGGAAGGGAACATTTCATGGCAAAAACCTCCGATCCTCCCTCGACGGCGGGCTCTAGTCCAGTGATTTTGGCAGCGCGGTTATCTGAAGTGGACGTCTCCGGACTGCTACGCTCGTCTGCAGAAATGCCAGAGGACGGGTGTTCCTCTTCGGCCTCTCGTGAGCGTTTCATCTTGAGTGAAGGCCAAGGTGACGGGGGGGGGGGGGGGGGGGGGGGGGGGTTGGATTACTTGCAGATCAGGCACTCGAATTTCCCCCACGTCGCACTGCTGCTGAGTTATGTCCTGAAATTATTTTTTTGGCAGGATCTGTGGAGGGGGGGCTCGGATGACTGAGCCAGCCTGCAGTGTATGATGTATCCGTAGGCTGTACTCTGTAAGGGTAGCAGGAATCCAAATACGCTTCGCCGAGCCTTGAGCCAGTCAGGTCAGAAATGTCGGTGACAATAGGTCCGACGATGATGAATGGAATCGAATGTTTTGGGCAAAGACCGGAGCCGTGGTGGGGCACTGACGGTCAAAGACCACTGCAAGGCTCAAGGCTCAAGGCTCAAGGCTCAAGGCTCGTCGTTAGCAGTGTTTGGGGGACAGACAAGTCATCATCGAAATCATTGCAGTGGGAAGAAGTGAAAGCAAGGGCCTAGGCTCCTAACAAAGCAACATTTTGACAAGGCTCATCAATCATGTCCCTAGCATGGGCCGTGCTGAAGCTGCAAGTATCCTGCGTTAAGGGAGTGTCCCGTCAGACTGAGGTGGGCTGTCAGTGAGGGACCTCAGTGAGGGACCAATCTCTCAAAGAGCCCGCAGTCCAGTGCACGGTCCATGTGTGCCCGCCGCTCGCTCGCGTCCCTCATGGCCCATGGAGACCCGACATCGCCATCCTCTTCCTCCTCCTTCTTCTCTGCCTGCCTCTGTCTGCCACTCTCGTCCCTCTACACCGTCTGAGTGTTCCCTTTCTTGAATGTCTGCTTTGGGTGGCGCATCGCTCGTCGCTCCTTCCTTCCGACCCTCCGCCCAATGTTCTTCTTCCCGACTCCCTCATCACCCCGATTACGTGCCACCACAAGCCTTGGACCCGACGACGCCGCTGCCGCTGCCCCGATCCCACCACCATTGTCGCCTTCACCCTTTGGATCCCGGCGACCTCACCTACCAAGTTATGGATCGCGCGCACATTCAGGGACTGGTCTTGAGAGCGTGTGAGCACAGCACGTAGCTTGGGCTCTTCATTTTTGTCCCATTCCTGAATTTTTGGAGTCCCGCACCTTCCACAACAACAAACCACCCCATCGCGAAAATAATCGCAACACCACCAACACCAAAATTCCACCCCCAATCACCAACTCCAGGGCCCAGCTCCGCCATTCGCCAACATGGCGGAACATGTTGAGGCTGCAAAGCAGGCATGGCAGTAAGTAGCCAATTTCCCTTCTTGCTCACCTCGAAATCTGGATTGCGCCAAGCATTGCCTCTGGCATATGCAGTTGGGCGGTTTGGGTTTTATGCGACTCCGGGCACCTACCTTCCGATGCTGACTTTTGACCACAGCCAAGCTCAAAAGCTTCGGAAGCACCTGCAGAAGGAGGTGGACAAGCTCAAGGGCGATGCCGACGGCAATGAGCTGAAGCATTTCGAGGTCCTGGAGAGCGTCATTTCCAAGTATGTAGCGAATCCGGCCCAATTTACTTGGTCGCAGTACCCTGCTGACCTGTGTTTAGCCTCCGACTAGCCTGCCTCCATGTCATATTCCATGACTTCGAATACTCCGCGATCGAAAAGGTGGAAGCCAACCTCTGGCAGGCCCACGGCCTTGTCAATGCCGAATATCGAAAGGTTCTGGGCAAGCTGAGATCGTCACAACTTGCCGTCCAGAAGCGCAAGTTGGACAGGATGTACAGCGGCTTCCTCAAGACGGCGCAAAAGTTCTACGTGGCTTTCGTCCAGCGCATGTCAGCCGTCTACCCGATTCCCGAGCTTCAGCGCATTGCCGAGGGCATCAAGGCCGAAAAGTTGGCAGAGGAGAACCCCATGGCCAACACTACGCCTGCCGTTCGCCAGATTATCCTCAAATACGTTCATCTGGTGCTCATCCACCTCGGCGACCTTTCTCGATACCGGATGCAGGCGCGACACAAGGTCCCGAGCTACGAAGCTGCCTTGACATACTACTCTCTCGCCCACGACATCCTTCCCAATTCCGGCTTTGCCCACCACCAGATGGGCATCATCTACTTGGATGAGAGAAAACACCTGGATATCATATATCACTTCTACCGCGCCATGGCAATTCAAGACCCTCATCCAATGGCGGCACAGAACCTTGAATCGGAACTGAAGAGCCTCTCAGCGCCAACCACGCCGGCCCGTCGCACAGGTCCTCCTGACCCTCAAGAGGCCTTTGTTACCTGGTTCGTAAAGCTGCATTCACACTTCAGCAAAGGAGAGCCGTTCCCTCAACATGAGGGGCTTGAAAAGGAAGTCATCAACCATCTCGAGATGGCCATCAAGGCTCCAAACACTCAGCCAATTCTTTTGAAGATGGTCTTGCTCAACATGTCTGCATTCTATGTCTACAACAACAAGGCGAAAGGTATGTGATATTCATTGTGAACTTTGCAATTCATTCACTAACTCACAGCAGGCGACTGGGCCACTGCTGCGTTCCGAACCTCTCAGTTCCTTCTTCGCCTGAACGCTCGATTCTTCATGACGTTTTGCAAGTTCCTCAAGAGGGAAATGGAGAGACTCATTGAGCAACAAGCAAACGGCGAACAAGAGAGCGCTGAAGACCAAGCAACTGCGATGACGGAGAACACTCTCCCCTTTGTGCGCCTATATGCGGCTTGGCTTGTGGCATGCCGTGTTGAGATCGTGAACGCTCAAGAAGCCCCTGAGCTGTCCATCAATGACATGTACACAGGGTTCGCCAAGGCACTCACTTCTCTCTGTGAGATGTATGGCAACGAGGATCTCAAACTCACTCCATACTTGCTCCCAGAGGACCAGGAAGCCATAGGAATGCTCCCTCTCTGCGACAAAAGATTGCCGGATAGTTGCCGTCTTAACTATGATGAGGATACTGGAAGTCTGAAGCCTCAAATCCAGCACTATGGCGGCCAGCGTTTCAGCCCTCTGCAAGAGATCTTCTCTAGGGTGTTGCAAACGATCAAGTGTGGTTTCTTCCTCGCCAATGATGAAACCAACTTTCCGTTCTCCTACACTTCATCGCCAAGGGGGCTTACTTTCAAGTACGAGGAAAGCTACACGCCAAAGTCTTCAGCAGTCGCAACAGCTTCCCAGCCTCCAGTGGAGCAAAGCTCTGCCGCGGAAGTTCCAGCGGCGAAACGCAAGGATTCACGGCGGCCAGGCCCTGTTAGAAACGCGACCCCGACTGCTGCATTGCCTACAGCGCCTCAAGCGGCTGCTCCGCCGCAGGTGCAGTCGCACCCAACTCCCGGACGCAGCAAAGGGCAGGGCCAGTCAGACTACGACTTCCTGAGTTCTGACGCTGATATGCTTCACATGGTTAATGACTTTCTGATGCCTCCGCAGGCTCACGCCTCTCCCGCAGGGAGCCACGAGGACACCTCGTACGGAATGAATTCAGCCATGGCCAACGAGGTATTTGGTGTGCCCCCGACCAACAGCCCGCCCGCTCTCGGATCCGCCACAGCAAAGACATTCCCGAGCCTTCCCTGGAACATGATCTACACCCCAACTCCCCAGGGTAAGAACCAAGAGCTGACGCCACCAGACTGTGCCATCAGGGATGCTGCTAGAAGATCATTCGATGGCACTGCTGGCATGCAGAGGACTGGCCAGCCCTCGGGTACCCCGAGGCTTGACGATCCATTCGGAGAAGCACGAGAGAACCTGTATATGGCTCGGCAGCAACAACGTCCGTATGCTAGTACACCCGACATAAGTGCTCACCAGGACCGCCTTCTGCAGGCCTTTGGCAGGCAACCCACCGACTCGAGATCCTTGAGCCGGGATTTTTCAGGATCAGGAGGATACGGACTGTGGCCGAGCCCGTACGCGGAAGTCAACCCCAATGCTCTGCAGCCGAGAGCGGCAGCCGCCCACGCCCGTTCGTTGAGCGGATCTCGTCCTCAATTCCCCCAGAGCCCCAACATGCCTGTGAGCGGAGAGAGCTTCTCGCCGGCGTCGGGCACTCAGTTCTCCAACGTCAGCAGCATCTACCAGAGCACGCCGTGCAACGGTATCGCGTACACCGCGACTACTGCGTTTGGACGAGGCCCCATCGCTGACATGCACGAGGATCCCACGCACTACAAGAACATGGTCAGACAGAACGGAGGTGCCGCTACTGACGGATACACGGCCGGATACAACGACATGATTCTCCAGTCGGCCATGGCTGACGAAGTCAAGCGTGCTCCGGGCCGGAACATGCGTCGTTGATTTTTGGGGACCAAGAATAACCAGGACCTTGTTTCCTGATCAGACATTATTATCACAAGGCCTGCCCGGCCCGCCCGGCGGCTTGATTGGAAGTTGAACACATCCATCTTATTTGCTACTGCGATGTAAGTCTATCAATCGTTTCTTTCTATAACTGTACACCACTGACCTGAGTTTCAGCGATATGGATCGCATGATTGAATTATACTGGCTCATACTACTGTTTCGAACGGATTTCACTGGACACGACACGAAGGGGATGGACCTTGGTCAAGGATTTGTCATCTGGCTGGGTTTTTTTGTCCAGCCGAATCGTCTCATCACATTGTTTTCTACCAAATATCTCATGACCCATGGGCTCAAGGTCGTAAAAGGTGTCGAGCCCAGATTGCAAGTTGATGCAAAGTGCGATTCCACTCATTTGAAAGCTCCCTCAGGAGCCAACGCCGTTGTTGAAACCGTTTTCCCTTTGACCCCCTCAACGCCAGACTATTCTGAACAAAAAGAAACTGAAATGCTCAATGCATTAGGTTGGAAGGCTTCGTGCCTACGAGGAATAAGCCTGCTTGGGGAAGGGGTAGCTAGTTCATAGTTAGCGAATGAAGCAAGAAAGTTTGACAAAGTTTGCCATTTGGTGTCCTGTGATATGACAAGGGGTCAACTTACGAAGGACCAAGCTCCTGGATGCTGAGCTTAGCCAGCCACTGGCCCATATCGATGGATTGGTCGAGGGACTTGCCATCGACGACACCAGCCATCAGACCGCCAGCAAAGGCATCACCAGCTCCGTTGGTGTCGTTGATCTGCTCCTTGGAGATGGGCTTGACGGGGTACTCCTTGACGCTGTCCTCACCCTGGACGGCAACCAGAGTGGGCTCGGTGCCCTGGGTAATGATGGCGACACGCTTGCGCTGCTTGTTCTCTTTGGGCAGGTTGGCGAGGGCCTTGGCGATCTCCTTGAGGTCGGTGGTGCCGAGGCTGTGGGCTTCGGCGTAGGCGGCGGCCTCGGTCTCGTTGCCGATGACGTAGTCCCAGTACGGGGCGCTGGCGTCGAGGGGGTCCTTGAAGAACTGGCAGATGAAGGGGGCGGACAAGCTGACGGCGAAGACCTTGTTGTTCTTGGCGGCCTCCTCGGCGAGCTTCTGGATGGCGGCGGGGCAGACGGTGAAGTGGTAGCCTCCAATGTAGTAGGCCTGGGCGTTCTCGACGAGCTTCCAGATGTCGGGGCGGGTCAAGTGCTCAAGGTCGTAGTGGTTGGCGGCACCGAGCTCGGTGACCATGGAGCGGTTGTGGCCGGTGATGACAACACCGCAGCGGCCGGTGGCGATCTTGGGGTCGACGCGGTACTCGACGCGGAGACCGGCGGTCTTGACGGCATCCTGGAGGATGGAGGCGTACTTGTCGTCGCCGACACCGCCGAGGTAGACGACGGAGTTGGGAGGGAGGATGTACTGGGCACCGCGGGCGGTGTTCTGGGCGGCGCCACCAGCAATGAGCTTGGCGTCGTAGTTGTTGAGGAGGTCCTCGTAGATGCCGAGGTGCTTCTCCTCAGCGAGGATAGCATCGTTGGCCTTGATGCCGTACTTTTCGAGGAGAGCCTCGTCACCAACTGCTTGGATGTCTGTGTTGCGGTGTTAGTTGCCGATATTTTGCTCTAGCTCGGTGTTAAGGGAGGGGTTGAAGCGACAATGGCGGGGTTGCGCAACGGTGTGCCCCGGTGCTTTAAGCTTAAAACCCATCAAAAAAATCACTTACCAAGCAGAGGGTTCTCAAGGCAGAGAAGGCGGAAATCCTGGGATGCCATTTTGTTCAATTGATGTATTCTGGGGTGTATGGATGAGGTGTGGAAGGGGTAAAGGTTGTGGGAGCTTCCAAAGATTTTGATTTTGGTGCTCCGTCGGCCAGTTTTGGATGAGGGGATGCCGATGGTGGGGTTGCTGGACCTGTCGGAGGAGGTGGGGTGGTAGGAGAAGAAACGTGCTCGCACAGCAGGGCGAGAACTCTGACCGGGAGCCTGCGGACTTGGAGGGGCGTGGGCAGGAGCTCGGGCTGAGGGTGCTGTCGCTGCTGATGATGATGAGAGGACAGGGGCAGCAGGGATGGTGGGGCGAGGGCGAGTAGCAAAGGTTCTCGTCACTGTTGCATTGAGGGAACTGGTGGACGTGCAGCGTTGAGTGAGACACCTCGAGGCGGTGACTCTCTGGCAAGCGAACATTGTTGCGTGCGAGCGAGTGATGTGGAGTAAACTTATATGAAGCTTGAAGCAAGGGGAATCGGGAACCGATGTCAAATCGCCGAGTGCAGGTTTCCCGTGATTTTGTAGGTTGCATCGAGGATTGATCAAAGATTAAGTCTCGTAAGACCGAGTCAGGGCGGGAAAGCGCCGTTTTTGTTGTCTGTGCTGTCATATCATCAGGCCACTCGCCGAATGAAGGAATGTCACGAGACAGGAGCAGCTCCTCAGTATGAATTTTGAATCGATCAATTGAAAGAGGAAACCACAACTACGTATGGTAGCCGGGCTTAGGAGGAAAGATCCAAGGCCACTTTCCCCCTCACTCCATTTGCTGCTGTCCCAAACACCGTTTTTTGTTCGTCATCCACACAAACTCCCGGCGTCTCACTCATCACATTTGGGTTTGGCGTTCTCCTCTCCCTCTTGTAGCGGGGGGGATCATGGCGTGATCATTCAATGCGCAAAATGCCTTTTAGTACTTGCCGAAGAGCTACCAGATGAACTGCCCTTGCGAGTACCCTCAAAAGATGCCAGCCGCGTAACACCATCCCAATGGAACCCTGAAATCCAGCCAAACTATGACCTTTATTCCTTGACCTTCTGGGTACCACGGAGCAGACCCGTCCGTCTCGCAGCAATAAGACCGGCCTTTTGTCCCTGGACGGCGTAGCGGGAGATGGTCGAGGCCTTACCGATATGCTGGTGGTTACCACCACCGTGGGGATGGTCGACGGGGTTCATGGCAACACCACGAGTTCTGGGCCAGTTGGCACCACGCTTGACGGCGAATTTGTGCTTGGCGCGAGAAGCCTCTGTAGGTATTGGTTAGTCAAATGCTTTCCCCAGCTTCATACTATCGTTGCTCTCATCCTTCCGCAACCAGGGGACCAAAACGTACTCAGGAGGGGCTTGTCGGTACGGCCACCACCGGCAACAATGCCGATCATGCCGCGGGCCTCGGAGTGGACGACCTTCTTGGCGCCGGAGGGAAGCTTGATGCGGGTCTTGCCCTCATCGGGGTTGTGGCCGACAATGGTGATGTAGTTGCCGGAAGTACGGCCGAGAGTGCCACGGTCACCGATCTTGGTCTCGACGTTGGAGACGACTGTACCCTCAGGCATGGAGCCGAGGGGAAGGACGTTGCCGACGGTCAGGGCGGCCTTCTTGCCGGCGTAGATGAACTGGCCGGTGTACATGCCCTCGTTGGCGATGAAGGTCTCGGTGTGCTGCTTGAACTTGTAGGGGTCGCGGAAGACGACCTGGGCGAGAGGAGCGCCACGGCCAGGGTCGTGGATGATGTCCTTCACGATACCACGAAGGTATCCGTGTCTCTCGGCATAGTCGAGGTTGCGGAACTTCGCGGGGGCCTGCACAGAAAATCGTTAGGAAAAATTGTCGTCGTATCGCGAATTTCGGGAATGTCGTATCTGACCTTGTTCAGGCGGGTGTTGGCCGTGAAGATCGAGCCACGACCTCTTCTCTGGTTACGGATCTGAGGAAGAGTATGTCAGCGCCTGTTGTCCTATCCCTTGTCCATCTCGAAAAAAAAAGTTCTCGGGTTTCGAATTGGTGGAATATCGAATGCGACGAGCAGCAAGTCGATGATGCGCCAATGTCGTTCTGCGAATAAAGCATCGAGTGTTGGATAGAGCAATCACTTACAACGCGACCCATCTTGGCAGTCCTCTGGCGTTCGGAGGGCTAGGTGTTGTCGTCGTGGTGAGGTTGAATCGTCAAATTCCGTCAACAAGCAGGATGGCTCAAATTTCGGAAACTGCAGTGGTGCGTGGGACTTCCTGTCCAGCCCTCCTCGCTTGAGCACGTGTTGTATCACGTGAGGGGAAATCCATGGGAGATTGCCCAAAATTTTGACAGAGCACGGACGGGAGAATGAAGCGGTATCCACAGGGGCAAACCCACAGGCCAAATGCTGCTTGGCCACTCAGTCTCGACCCCAGGGCGTTTGTACCGCGTCACGATCTCCGCACTTTACCCTCACCTCTGGAACGTCTTACTATGGCTTCAGCAGGCTAAGTTCACGATATCCTCAGCGCCGTCATGATGTGCAGTGTCTCTTGCTCATTACGAGTCAACCAGAAAATGCACAAAAGACATGAAACCTTTTCAATATACGAGCACTAACTTCTGCTCGACGAGGTGTCCTCATTCCCTTAGCTATCTCCTGTTTTTTCCCTCGTGGCTGCATTTTCTGATGCTCTGTTAGGTCTGCCGTGTCCGATCGGTGTTGGTGCGTTTTGTGGGCAGGTCATGTTTGGGGTCCTTGGAAGGGAATTCGGTGAGGTTACTAGGACCCCGGAGTCTTTGGTGCCTTGGTGTGGTCCAGCGATCAACGTCATCGGAACCTTCGCCGGAGTCGGCGAAGGCCGTTCCTCGCGGAGTGCATCGTTGCGTCCAACTCATTTTGTTCTTGAAGGGTCTCCGTGTAACGATTTGGCCAAGTAGGATCCAATATGCGGGAGCGCATCACTGCAAGTGTTCGCCGTGGTCCCGTCGCCTCTAGTGAGGTGTCTATATTGGTGACTACAGGCCACGGGCTCGCCGAAATCGATGAATCGGCGTTTTCTCGTCGATGTTGAAAAGGTGTATCCTGTAGGATTGCAGCCCATTCACTTTTACCACATATAGCCCTATTCACGCAGTCACAGGAGGCAAGAACATATCGGAGATGGAATCAACACCAAAACCCTGTGGATGGCCTCACTTCAAGCGTTGAGAATATCTGCAGACGCAAAGTGGCGTAGGCGGGCGATCATCATGGTCTGGTTTAGTCTTTGCTGATTTGGCTGAGCTGCATAGTCATGTGACGTGTGGGAGGGACTCTGCAGTGGACGGGAACGAGTTGGGAATGCAATGCAAGTGCTAGGCAAATCCCAACGGGACTACAACCAGAAGGCAGACCTCTCCATCGATATGTTGAGCAATGACTTCAAAGTGCATGAAGTGCTGGACAATTTTGATGGGCTTTCGGTACGCTGTAAGTCGGCCGCCGCAGTGACCAGCAGGCCGAAGCAGGTAGGTGGAGTGAAAGGAAGCTGGGTCTCTGCGACAAAGGCACCATGCTACCAACCCAGTGGTTGGGAATAGCATCAACAACAGAATGCGTCAACTTGAAGAGTGGGCAATGGCGGATTGCCTCTCGGCCGAGGGATGTCTTAGTTTGCGCGGTCACTTTCGTCCCTAGTCTGCACCATGGGATCCACCTGTCAGCAGACAAGCTTCATAAGTCCACGACGATTTGATTACGACGACAACTTGAATGAGAGACATCGAATGCGATGGTTTTGAGGTTTCTATGGTGGTGCTCAGCGAGAGAAGTTGAGCTGCTTTTCGGTGTTAAGAAGAAGATTTAGTAAGGCAAGGTAGGCCAGGATATCCCACGGTAGCTCCATGGGTGGGGTACAGGCGACGTGGGTTCTCCAATGCCTTCGAGGGCAAGATGGGACTCATGAGGCACAATCCACAAGAGGCTGGCCAGGCACATGTCAAACAGCAAGTGGCAGGCAGCATGAGTAGGTAGGCAAAGAGCTGTGTGAAGAGGGAGGTTCATCGGGTGCAAGGCCATGCATGCTATGCGTCTTTGACACATGAGAAGGGGAATATGCGAAGAGGAATGAATGGAAGCCGTAGGTATTTTAGATTTTAATGACTCGGGCCTATCAGAGAACCAGACCGAAAGGAGATGCGGCTCAAACGTGACTTAATTAGTCCCGCGGGTGGGCGCTCGAAACTTCCTCTCTCAACTACACCGGCGCGCATACCACCACCTCCACCTACCACGATACCCACCCCAACCCAACTTCGACAACACCACTCGCGCACACAGCAACCACAATCGCGAAGAGGAAAATAATCGCCAAGATGTCCGACGACGATTCTTCGGATTTGTCTTCGCTGTCTTCGTTGTCGCCAGTTCCTTCCGACATCGAATCTGAAGCCGAGCCTGAACCTGCGACGAAAGGTGACATTCGGAAGTTCTTCCCCAAGCTTGCCAAAGGCAAGAAAGCTACCGTCGCGACCAAAGAGCCCTCGCCACCGCCTCGCAAGCGATCGCCATCCCCACCACACGAGAATGCCTTCATTGATAATCCAGACATTGCTGTATGCATATTGTCGCGTCGTTTCGCGCAAAAAAAAAACGCGTAGAACCGCGCACCCCACGTCATAGGACAAGCTAACACGCACCTCCAGTTTCTGGTAATGTTCCGTAGCCGATTCAACGATGCCTTCCCGAAATCCTTGGCCAACTTTGGTCCCCAAGAGCTCGAACAAGATATCATTGGCAGTCCGCCGGGCGAACGAGTCGAGGCTTTTCTGTGCGCTCTACTGTTCCTGCTCTTGAACCGAAAGCAGGACGTTAAGTACGTCGACGCGACAGCAAATATGGTCTTCTAGGGTTGCTAATTGACGTGATAGGACCGGTCAATACTCCAAGGCTCTCGACGACGCTCTTTCTGCCCACAAGTCCCAGTGGCCACGATCATGGGAAGGAGTCAACCCACTGTCGGGTAGCAACACTTTTCACAGCATCACACCCACTCAGAGAGTAAGTAGCGGAATGCTCCTGACTTGCCTGTGCACCAATTCACTAATCAATTGGTACAGCTCTCCCTCCTCCGCGTGTTTGCCTTGTGGTCTCTTTCAGCATCCGAGACTGTCAAGACCATCATCAATAAATCCTACAAAGGAAATCGTCACGATGACGACTTGAACCAGCCACTCTCTGTCCAGCCCTGGGGTTCAGACAGTGACAAGAGACGGTACTTCTTGATCGAAGGCTTGGACGATACTGCTTTCCGCGTCTATCGGGAAAGTAACCCAGCTGGCTTCAACCGCACTTGGTGGTCAGTAGCTGGATCGATCGACGAGCTCAGGGCCCTTTGCGAGAAATTGGAGAGTAAGGACGGCGGCCCCAAGGCCAGGAAGCTTGCAGATAAGATGCTGGCGGCTATTCCTCGCTTTGAGGGTACTGAGGAGGTAAGCATCTATAATCGGACTCCGGTCCAGTGTGGCAGGGTATCGTTTTGAGTCACGACTAATTGTCGCAGAAACGACGTCGCAGAGAGTATCGACAGGCACAGAAAGCCCGCTTCAAGCGTCCCGAGCCTGGTTTCTCTTCCTACGAAGGTCGCACGAGAGGCAAGCGAATCAAGTACACATACTCCGATGATGAGGACTTCCTCACCGACTCGTCCAACCGGCGCTCGGCGCGCAATACTGGGACGAGCACTCCTGTGGAGCCAGCAGGGCCAGTGACCACCGCCAGCGGTCGTCAGATCAGAGCTCCACCGCGAATGAATGGCAGCAGCGCAGCAGGGAGTGTCAACGGCGACTCGGAGGATTCCCGCCAGCCATCAGAGCCGACGGCTGGTCCTGGAGGCCGGCCACGCAGAGCCGCAGCAGTCAACCATGGAACCAACGGATGGTCATCTAAAAGCACTCGGACTCGTGGACGCGACTCCATGGATGAAGACGAAGATGACGACAGCGAGCCTGATTTGGGTGACGACGAAGAAGAGGACCATGTCCCAGATGAGAGTGAGGAAGACGATGACGAACCAGACGAAGATGTGGATATGGCAGATGATGACTTGGTCGATGAACCTCGAAAGAGCTTGATCGTAAAGCTGTCGGTGAAGAAGTCCCCTACCACGACGAAAACGGCTATGATGACTCCCGGCCCAGAGGATGAGAAAGCCTCAATGAGAGATGACGAAATGGTTGACGAGATTGTTGCCAAACCCAGAGAAGCGACTCCAGAGCCCGTCATCAACGTTGCGACCACGAAACCGCCCCTGAGTCCGGCCGCTGTGCAGACCTCCTTGGCCTTTAGAGGAAGCCCGGATAAGCTGCAAAGCATGCTGCAACAAGTGGATGTTGGTGTGCGCGAGTAGGGCTCACTGGGAACTGGCTACCACAAGTCCTTTGGCGTTTGGCGGTAAAATTTGGCAGGCGGAGTACGGAAAGGGATAGACGATGGGAACCATCGGGATGATTGAACAATTATTTGTAGGAGCACTCGCTCATTCATAGACGGTACTACGGCTAGTACTTTCGGGGGATATGCGCATCACCAGATGCAACGGTACTGAAAAGTACCTGGCTTGCAGAGACACTCTGCTTCGATTTTAGTTGTACAGATACCACACCAATCATGTTTCCTGATCCTTTCCTTTCCTTTTATTTGTTCCAGTTCCTCACAGCTCCTTCTTTGTCAAAGCAGTCTTCCAGTTTGAGCTCTTCTGCGGGGGCAGCTGCCAGTTATTCACACCATACCACCATCTCCGGACCCTGGCACCTATCGAGCTGCCGTGGACCTGCGCATTCTTATTCCAGTGATGCCAGCCGATGAGGAACAAGTTGTAAACGACGCCTTGGACCAAGGGCATCATCACCTACATCGAATCAGTACAGATTCCGACCGCGGCCAGATGCGCCTGAACAACCTACCTGATCCCTGGCAGTGATCCAGGCCACCCGCCCCCAAGTATCGGCTTTGGAGATGCTGTTTAGGTAGCTCTGCTCGAAGCGCAGGTCGGGCATGGGCGGAAGCTTTGCTGTGCGCGGCTTCGGGTTCACCACGCTGCGGGGGATGTAGTCGTCGAGCTCATCATCGTCGAGATCGTCGTGGACGGGTTCTAATGTCACTGGCTCCTTCTCGGAGGCTGCTGTGGAAGGGTTGAGGTCGTGACTCGGGGAGGGCGCCCTGTTGATGTGGGCGGTCT